GTGGGTTTGTGTGTGTGTGTGTTTGTGTACTTGCTTATGACTACTGTCATCTTGCTGAATTGGCGTTTTATCAATACATAATGTTCTTGTTTGTCTTTTGTAAACTTTTTATACTTAACATCCATTTTATGAGATAATAATTTAGCTACCCCAGGTCTCTTATGCATGGAATAACTTTTTCTATCCTTTTACTTTCTAACTCTTTGTGTCTTAGTATGTGAAGTTAGTCTCTTGTAAACAACATATAGATATTTTTTCAAAATCCAATCTGCCAATCTCTACCTTTTAATAGAAGAGCTTAACCTATTTACATTTAAAGTAATAATCAATAAGGAAGAATTTAGTTCTGCCATTTAGTTACTTGTTTTCTGTATATCATGTTTTTTCTCCATTACTTTTTTGTGTTTAGTTGAACTAATTATTGAAGTGTACCATTTTGATTCCCCTCTTCTTTCCTTTTCTATGTATTTTAATGTTATTTTCTTAGCACTTATCTTGGCAATTACAATTAACATTTTAAACTTATGACAACCTAGTTTAAATAATATCAACTTAGTTTCCATAGTATATACTTTCCTTCTGCATGTTTCCATCCCTCTCCCTTAAATTGTTTTTGTCACAAATTATATCTTTATAATTTTGTGCTCATTTTGTGCTCATTAGCATAAATTTATAATTATTGTTCTATGTATTTGCCTTTAAATCACACAGGAAAATATTGGAATTATAAACCAAAAGTAAATATTTTGCTTTTATATTTATCGATGTAGTTACCTTTATCAGTGTTTTTTCTTGTGCATTTGGGCTGTTGTCTATTGTCTTTTCACTTTAGTCTGAAAGATTCCCTTTAGCATTTATGGTGGGAAAGGTCTACTGGTAACAAACACCTTTAGCTTTTGTTTATCTAAAACTGTCTAATTTCTCCTTTATTCTTCAAGATAGTTTTACCAGGTACAGAATTCTTGGTCGAAAGGCTGTTATTGTTGTTTTTTCGGGACACAAATATGTCATCTTCCTGCCTTCTGGCCTTCATGGTTTCTGATGAGAATTCAGTTGTTAATCATGAAAATCCCTTGTATGTGATGAGTTGCTTTTCTCTTGCTGCTTTCAAAATTCTCTTTTTCAGCTTTAACAATTTGACTATGTGTCTTGCTGTAGATCTCTTTGAATTTATGCTACTTTGAGTTCATAAACTTCTTGGGTGTGTAGATTCATGCCCTTCATCAGATTTCAGTCATTATTTCTTCAAATGCTTTTTCTGCCCTTCTAACTCTCTTCTTCTTCTGGGACTCCTATGATGTATATGTTGGTGCACTTGATGATGTTCCACAGGCCTCTCAGGCTCTGCTCATTTTTCTTTATTCTTCTTATTTTCTCCTCTTCAGCTGGATAATTTCAATTGTCATCCTGCTGTCATTTATTTTTCCTGATGAAAAGTCAACTGTCACTTTTATTGTCATTCCCCTATGTACCACATGTCTTTTTTGCTTTCCTGCTACTACATTTTAAACATTTTCTTTATCTTCAGTTTTCAGCATTTAGCTATGATGTGCCTAGGTGTGGCCTTCTTTAGATTAATCTTGTTTTTAAGGAGAAGGGGTGGTGATGTATGGTGAGGCCAGATGACGATAAAGAGAGAAACAAGATCCAAGAGTTTGATGGTCTTATACTCACAGCTCCCTGGGGAGAAACAGTACACTTCGCAGGGTCACTCGGGGGAAATGTGGGCAAAACCCTTTACTGTGGCTTCCCCAGGAGGGAGCAGCTGAGGCAGGGTTAGCAGGCTGAGGACTATCTGATTAGGAAAGTTTCGGCAGGCTCTAAGGAACAAGGGTTGTCTGGTATCTGGCCCTCGGGTGGCTAGGGTGGTGGCCCGGAATGTGAGAGCCCCAGAAAGGAAGGGGTTGAGGCTGTAAAACTAATTGGCTGCTCCAGAGGACTGACTGGCCTCTAGCCAGGGCCTCCAAACTGGGTCAAGACAGCATGTTTTCAAAAACTTTTATTATAGGGGGTCACTGATGTTCTTGAATTTATGAATTGATATTTTAAATCTTTAAAAAATTTTGGCAAATATGTCTCCACATATATATTCCTGCCACATTTTCTCTCCTCCCCTGAGACCTCAGTTACATACTTGTTACACTGCCTCACAGCTTATTGAATCTGTTCGATTTTTTTCAATCTTTCTCTTTTTTCTTCAATTTGGATAATTTCCATTAACTTGTCTTCAAGTTCACTGATCTTTTCTTCTGCAGTGTTTAATCCTCTTTTAAGCCCATCCATGAAATTAGTTATTTTTAAAAATTTCATCTCTCTCCTAAAATTCTCTATCTGTTCATCCTTTACATCTATCCTTTCCTGTAGATTCTATACCTGGAGGACACTATGCTAAATGAAATAACCAGAGAAAGACAAATACTGCCTGATCTCACTTATATGTAGAATCTAAAAAAGTCAAACTCACAGAAACAGAATAGAACAGTGGATGCTGGTGGGGGGCAAAATGCTGGGGGGTAGGCAAAATGCGAAGATGCTGACCAAAGCATACAAGCTTTTGGTCTTTAAGATGAGCAAGTTCTTGGGATCTAATAGTGTACAGCATGGATGGTAATGGATGTGTTAATTTGTGATAATCATCACATAATACATGAGCATGTCAAATCATCACATTGTATACCTTGAATATATACAATCTTTGTCAATTAAGTATTTTAAAATAAAAAATATATACAAATATAGGACATACCAAAAGTAAAGGCAATAAAAAGCATCCACTTAAGTTTAAGGAAAACATTTATAATTGTTATTTTTTAGTTTCATAAACTCAACATCTTAGTTGTCTATGGGTGGTTTTTTTCTTGATTGCATATTCATGCTTCTTCTCATGTCCACTGATTTGTGATTATATACTGGGCATTCTGAATAATATATTATAGAGACTCTGGATTCAGTCCTCCCTCCCCCACGAAAAAAAACCTGTTTTGTCTATGTAGTTACTAGTGTAAGCAATTTTAGTAGACAATGAAGTTACTACCTTAATTCCTTGAAGTCTTGATTTTAGGCTTTATTAGGGTAGGTCTATTTTAATTTTCCCTTCAGTCCTAGAGGCTAGAATTGAGTTCTGAGCTGTCATCCTAATCCTAAGGCATGACCCTCTGGGTTTTTAAGGAAAATCTGGAATATCTACCTAATGCCTCTAACTTGGTGGGACATAAATTCCAAGGTTTTCCTCCACAGCAAGCAGCTGCTGAGATCTTTTCTTCCAAGTGTTGCTTTCCACTGGGCCTCCCGGAATCCTGTCCTGTATATGTACAATATAGGAGTCAGCCACAGATTTGAAGGGACCGTGTAAGGGAAATTTGGGGGCTCTGTCTTCCTCCTTTCTTGGGATTTTCCCTTTCAATTTGTAGCTGCTCAGACAGCCCTGAACTGAATTGGCTCCTCAGCCTAGTAAGACTACCACTTTTTATTTCCTGTGGGCCACATGAGAAACACTGACTTAAATGTGGATCTTACCCCATGTGTTTCTTTTTTGAAGAGACGGGGTCTTGTTCTGTTGCCCAGGCTGGAGTACAGTGGCCTCATCATAGCTCACTGCAACCTCTAATTCCTGAGCTCAAGTGATCCTCCTACCTCAGCTTCCTATGTAGCTGGTACTACAGGCATGTGCCTCCATGCCTGGCTAATTTTTCTATTTTTTGTAGAAACAGGTCTTGCTCTTGCTTGGGCTGGTCTCAAACTCCTGGCCTCAAGCCATCCTCCCCCCTTGGCCTCCCAAAGTGCTAGGATTACAGGTGTGAGCCACCACACCCAGCCTGTGTTTCTTTTCTTTTGATGGTTGAGTCCCTTCCACTTTTTGCCAGTCTCTAGTCACATTCCATTGCATTTCTATTGAAATGTATAATTATCAGCAATAGATTAGTCTGAGACAAGTTGCTCTGCCATTATTGGAAGCTAGACTGTAATTAGATGCTTAAGGGTTATTTAAAATAAAATAAACTCCAACTTCCTTTTCTTTCGAATGCCTGACCTCGAGCAATCCACCTGCCTCGGCCTCCCAGAGTGCTAGGATTACAGGCGCGAGCCACTGCACCCGGCCTACCTTTTATTTCTTTATCTGGGTGACAGTTACACAAGTGCTTTCACTTTGTGAAAATCTATCCAGATGTGTGTTTGTGTACTTTTCTGTACAAGCTATGTACTTCAACAAAAAGTTTATTACAAGAAAAAAACCATTTTTGTGCCAGCACCCAGTTTAAACCCCTTAAGGTCTTTCTTGTACCCCCAGGATCAAACCCAGACCCTTCTCCCGCAGCTCTTGACCATGACTCTGGCCACCCAGGTGTGCTTGCAAACTCCCTCAACAAGACACTAGTGCAAGTTCCTTCCTCTCCTCCCTCCCTCGTCCCACATGGACAGCTACTACTTATCCCTCAGGCTTCAACATAAGCACCATTCCTTGCAGCAGCTCTTCCTGACCACTAAGTCTCTCCTCCTGCATTTTAGGTGCCCCCTTTTGTCCCCTTGTGGACACCAGGTTGCTCTCCCCAACCTCCGCTCAGCAGTGCACTGATCACACCTGCACTGTCCAGAGAGCACTCAACAGCAGGAAGCCATGGAGGAGCTCAGAGAACTGGCCAGATGAATGACATCCATGCCACCCTCCTAAGAAACACAGTGACACGGTTAGGCCTGGCTGTCTCATGATTCCATCTGGCCTCGAGGCCTCCCTGTGCCCCACTCTTACGGCTGGGGCTGCCTGCCGACCAGATTCTGCCTGGGGTAGCTCCCAGGGGTTAGGCACCTAGATGAGATCTGGGTGCTATCCCAAAAATCCAAAGAAATGGCTACAACCAGAACCAAGCTCCCCTGCCAGACAGACTTAGCACAGCCTTCCTTCATGTGTCTGAGTTTGCAGCTTCTTCCAGATGAGGGGTTGGACCCTGCACTCTGTTAATCTGCTTTTCCTAAACATAAAAGCTGAATGACTGATCGGACAATTTTAAAGAACAGAGGAACAAGTTTATTGTGTTGAGCAGACCTTATTTTCATTACAGTACCAGGAAATTCATTCTCAATTCCCTTCAGATGCAGAGATTCTGCAGACATTTAAGACCCCAATGCTATTCCCAAGCAAGGGGCAGCACCTGAACACCATGTTGCATTTAATGGAACAGGATTACAGTAAAATTGGATATTCATAAAGATTTTTTTAAAGTACATAGTTTCTTTAAAAATTCTATCATTTCCTCCATTTTTCCATGTTTACCTTGTTATTTCTATAGATAACTGGTTGGAAAACATGGTGCTTGATAACCTTTTGTTCTCAAATTGTCAACCTCAGGTTAACGAATTTCGCTTGTTGTTGTTAAGAGGCATCATGCCATCTCTCCGGAAATCTACAATAAGGCAATGCATACAATACCGGCGGGACAGGGCCTCGGCTCCAGACACCAACTCTGCCCCAGCAAACCTTCCTCATCTGGCCTCTGAGCTGCTGGGTGCAGGGAAAGACTCAGGGAAGGCCCTCTTGCTTGCGAGTCCTTGCCACAGAGCTTAGACTTTATGGACTACTTCCAGGGAGCATGCAGCCTCTTGAAACTGGTTTTGTGATTCGTTTTTATAAATTGTCAGTACTCAACACCCTGAGGGAGCAAGAGCCTCCACTCAACTCACTGACTCATTGCCACTACTGCCACCAGGAGTGTTGCTTCTATATTATATAGAGAAATGAAAGACCAAATAATGAATGAGAAATCTATATCCTCCAGATGCTCTGAAATATCAATAACCACCTGAGTTAATGATGTTTAATTTGCTTAATTCAGCCAGGTAATTACCAAGGTCCTGATTAAGACCTTTCTCTCACTACATCAAGGCAGAGAAAACATGAACTGATACCTTTTTTGGGTCCATATTAACTCTGAATTATTTCTTTTAATCATTCAGGCGAAAATAGGCATGGCAGTTTTAGAAAAGGACTGCTTTCAAGTATCTGAACTTACTCATGGGGGAGGTGGGGAGAAACAGAGTCATTTTAAACTCATTGCTATGAGAGGTTGTGCCTGACCTGTGTCAAATTATGGAGTCAATAAAATATGAATCCTGGCTTAAGGAAACTATGGGATATCTTTCCTCCTCATCACCTGGGCAAGTTTCTTCCAAAAGCTGCACTACCGTCCCTAGCTCCAAGCCTTCCACTCAGAGACTCTGTCCCTGAAACCAGGTTAAAGCTCAGGCAGAGCTGTGACATGGTTCTGAACAAGAGGGCTTCTGGACAGCAGAGTAAATTAAACTTCCTTCATGGAAACTGTTTCTTAATACAAATATATATGTAATCTACACTGTCCCAAGAGTTGAGTTCACCATGATGCTTGTGCACTTAGTAGACACGCAAATATGTACGTTCAATTCGAAATGCAACATCTTGACAGATTCACAACTTTATCATTCTTATGGAAAACCAACATGCCATCACCCTCCAAGTGGTGAGCATTCAGTACCCTGGCCATGGCATGCCCCCACAGCCCCAGCAGCAGGCTGTGACATGATTTGATGTCAATCAAATGTCCCTGTTCAAAGAACATAGAATCAGGCTCTTGTTGCTGCATGTCATTCTGACATAGCACATTTTCATATTACTCTTTCTTTATTCAGAAAGAAAACTTTCCACTATAGCATGATTGAGAGGAAAAAAAATCTATTATATAAAAATGATGGCTAAGAACACCACACTGTGAACAGTTTCCAGAAGCTTGAACACTCAACATAATCAATTCTTGCTTCTTGGAGAAACTCTCCCACACCTATCTTTTCAGCCACAGTATGCATTCTCAGGGCATGGACAACAGACCAGCTGAGCAAGATGACATTTCAGCAGTAACATCATTTCCTAGGGATGCAGTTAATTTTGAAAGTTGATTATGCCACGTGAACAAAAAAAGAAACTGTCAGAAGGAGGGCCCTAGACCATTGCAGAAGCAAGCTGGGTCCTGCCTTATTCAGAGTCAACTATGACTCTGACTTCAATCAGAGTGGTGATGGGGAAGGGGCAACAAGTGACACCAGAGCACGTACACCACAGAGAGAACACAGTGTACTCTGCACCTTCCTTGTGAATGCATAAGAGACTGGTAGGAAGACGCAGAGAAAGGTGGCCAATTCCACGTCTCACAGGAACCAGAATTTACAAAGCATAACCTAGTGACCAGAGTATCTCCTGTTCAATTTCCCAGACAATAAACTGGGAAAATGCACATTTTTGTCCACGGTTGTAGAAAGCAGCAGCAGCAGTCTCTCTGAAAACTTAATTAAATGTAAAGATGAAGCTTGAACCAATGTTTTTTAATCTCACGGATCCTATCTCTTTAGCTGCTCTGGCCAGGTGAGGGGCACGATGGAAGGAAATCATGCTACACTCTTTGTCAAGAGCAGCCATTCTGAGGGACTTTTAGTCTCAGTTCAGTTTATTTAATTCTCTTTTAAGATCTCCCCTCCCCAATTTTTAATGGAATTATGAAAGCAAACTCAAAATATCCTTCAGAATGACTGGCTAACATTTGCATTTCTAAGCTAACTTTTGCATTTGAAAATGGATGGAAAAAACAAATTACTTGATATTTGTGATAAGAATATGATTTTTTTAAAAGACTGCACATCAATATATTACCTGGCTTAGAAGGGTGGGGGCTTAGCTATCCATTTGCACGCTGGCCTCCTGTTTTTTAAAAGCAGGCAAAACATGAAAGAAAAGGCCTGGGTGCCTTAGAAGGCAGGTACACACCCACCAGGCGCTGCTATGCTGGCAGCCTGGGCAGGGATGGAGCCAGGACACTGGAGCCTCACAGCCGTTCAGGCCAGCGCCACGCCCAAAGCCTCGACAGCCATTTACTGGCAAATGCTGCTCTCCAAGGGACAATTGCTGGGCTGTCAAAGTGAAGACACACAACACAAGGATTCAAGGGCAACCAGTGTGGATGCCAAAAGCAACCCACAGTGCTGAAGAAAAAGGAATATAGGACAGTGTATAAAAAAAATCACAAGTTCCACAGTTGGAATCTTTCCTGGTCTTAGATCTGGGAGCATTTTGTAGAGAAATGTCCAACCCATCAGTCCCCAGGGTCTGAGAGAAAATCCCACACAGGAGAGGACACATGATGTAGTGATCATCCAGATAGAGTCCTGAGCCTTCATCTTGAGATGATCACTAGAAGGGTTTAGTATGGCTATATCCAGTAAGGAAATTGATAACAGACATTATTTTAGAAAGTGGGAAGAAAAGCAAAGACTTTGACAAATATGAAAATTGTTTACACAACAATTACCTAGAAAGTCCATTAGGGTTGGGTGGGGGTTGGGGGTAATGTTTTCTTCTCAAATAGCCATGATGGTACTAATGGTTTACAAAAGATAATGGCCAATTTCTGGTCTTCCTCCCTTCCCCCAATACCCCAGAGCCCTCCTACTCCTTTTACTCTCCCTACCCTCATCCCAACGCACCCCATCCTGGCCCCAGTTAGTCTGCTTAGCCACTGCACCAAGCCAGCCCTGAAGACACCCAATTGGTTGGGTTTCCATTAAACAATGCACCTAACACTTGGGAAGAGAAGGCAGGGAGGCACAAGCACGTCGGTGTAAACCTTGAGGGGCATGGACCTTGAAGAAAGCTTCTGCCAGCCAAGCCCAGTGCAGGGTAGGCATCTGCAGTACAGCGTGGGCTGCAGGTAAACTGAGGTAAAGAAGAACATGGGGGCTCTGGATAGCCTGCTTCCTGTCACAATACAACATGTGTGTGCTCTAGGTGTGGGCACCAGAGGACTCATTTTCTTCCAGTTGCTGCTGCCATTTCCTGCTCTGATTAGAAGGCTGCTCATTACAGAGTCCCAAAAGATCAGCCACTTGTCTTCCTCTGAGGTACAAATCCAACAGAACCTTCACCCCAAGGATCCAGTGCGAACCAATGTGCAGAAGTCAAGATCAAATCTCAGAATCAAACGGTGTGGCACACCTGCCCAGCCAGTTTATCAGCAGTTGTATAGACAGATCAGAAAAAACTAGCATTTAGTATAAAAATTGTTTTTCAAATGGTATAATTTCCTGTGCTCCTCCAGAGATCATAATTCTTCACGTTTCTGAGGTCCTATGGAAAAGGAGAACAACAGAAAATAAAAGACTATCCTCAAAGTTACAAACACAGAGTGCGCAATTCCACCACTGTGACCTATTATCTGTACCTCCACTTCCATTTTATCTCTCATATTAAATTTTTAGGAGCTTTGATGTTTCTGTATTTTGAAAGAAAAAAAAATAAAGGAGACTAAAAGAACACATTGAAACTACCTGTTAACCTCCAACTGAATTGTTTTGACAAATACAATATTTACTTTCAGTAAATACGGTTTACAAAAGAGAATGGCCAATTTCTGGTCTTCCTTCCTTCCTCTAATACCCCATATTTACTTTCAGTAAATATGCATGCATTTGTGGTCAGCACTCTTCTTTTTTAACTAAATAGCATAAACACTTTTCTATATATCAGTGTGGCTCATTCCTAGATGTTTAAACTGTTTTTAATGCTTTTGGCTTATAAATAATATTAAAATAAATGTCTTCTTATATATAATGTTTCTCTTTTGTTGAATTATTTCCTTAAGATAAATTTCAAGAGAGGAATTATTGAGGGTATAAACATATTAAAGGCTCCTGATGACAGATCGCTGCTTTTTACCAACAGTTGCTCCAAAACACAAAGCTTCAGGAAGGCATACCCGGAACGGCTTCATCTCCGTCTCCCCAGCAAACAGCACGAGGAGTATGTGCATTTTTCCATGTAGCAGACACTGATAATAAACTGCCTTAATTTGATTACTGTTTCCTCAAATTCATTTATTATTTGTGTTTTCCTCTTATTTGAACACTATGTCCATATTCTGTGCTCATTTATCTAAGGGAATCCTTGAGGTTTTACTAATGAATTTGAATTAATTATTTTCATAGTTACCATACAACCTTCTAGCTGTGATATTTAATATAGTCTTCGGGATGTATGGGTGAATCACTCAAGATCCATGTTCTGTAATTATTTTTTTAAGATTAGTTAAAGCAGAATAAATCTTAAAATCCACAGCCCATGAATGCATCAGAACATCTCTACAGGCCGGGCACAGTGGCTCACGCCTGTAATCCTAGCACTCTGAGAGGCTGAGGAGGGTGGATTGCTCAAGGTTAGGAATTCGAAACCAGCCTCAACAAGAGTAAGACCCCATCTCTACTATAAATAGAAAGAAATCAATTGGCCAACTAATATATATGGGAAAACTTAGCCAGGCATGCTGGCACACGCCTGTAAGTACCAGCTACTTGGGAGGCTGAGGCAGAAGGACTGCTTAAGCCCAGGAGTTTGAGGTTGCTGTGAGTTAGGCAGATGCCACGGCACTCACTCCAGCCTGGGCAACAAAGTGAGACTCTGTTTCAGAAAAAAAAAAAAAGATCCATGTTCTGTAAATGCTTTTTTAAGATTAGTTAAAGCAGAATAAATCTTAAAATCCACAGCCCATGAATGTATCAAAAACATCTCTATAGGCCAGGTGTGGTAGCTCACACCTGTAATCCTAGCACTCTGGGAGGCCAAGGCGGGTGGATTGCTCGAGGTCAGAAATTTGAAAGCAGCCTGAGAGAGACCCCTGTCTCTACTAAAAATAGAAAGAAATTCACCAACTAAAAATATATATACAAAAAATTACCCAGGCATGGTGGCGCATGCCTGTAGTCCCAGCTACTCAGGAGGCTGAGGCAGCAGGATCGCTTGAGCCCAGGAGATTGAGGTTGCTGTGGGCTAGGTTGATGCCATGGCACTCACTCTAGCCTGGGCAACAAAGTGAGACTCTGTCTCAAAAACAAAATCTCTACATACCCCACAAATATGTATAATTATTATGTGGCAATTAAAATATAAAATAACATTTTTAAAAACCCAGAGCTCAACTTGTTAACAGTTTTAAAAAAGTTACTTTTGTATTCTAATGATTTCAAGTGGCTACCACTCAAGATCTACACATAGTAGGAAAAAATATTAAAAACTCACGCCTGTATTCCTAGCACTCTGGGAGGCAGAGGCGGGAGAATCGCTCAAGGTCAGGAGTTTGAAGCCAGCCTGAGCAAGAGTGAGACCCCATCTCTATAAAAATAGAAAGAAATTGATTGGCCAACTAAAAATATATAGAATAAATTAGCCGGGCATGGTGGCACATGCATGTAGTCCCAGCTACTCGGGAGGCTGAGGCAGGAGGATCGCTTGAGCCCAGGAGTTTGGGGTTGCTGTGAGCTAGGCTGGCACCACGGCACTCTAGCCCAGGCAACAGAGTGAGACTCAGTCTAAAAAAAAAAAAAAAACTTAAGTCCTTCCTATTCTTAGATAAAATTAAATACAGATACTCTAGCCCTACCCATTATGCTTGTCTTAAAGAATACTTTTTTCAAATCAATATATACTTCCTTTTGCTCTAAAGTTTTTTACTCACTAGTGCCTTGATGGATTTAATGGGAAAAAAACAAGGACTATGGCAAGAGCTCCTGAAAATGTCAAGTCTGACTTACGTATCATAAGACTCATGAACCTAAATAACAATAATCACAATTAAAGTACCCTTCTCTCCTCATCAAAATCAGACAAAAAAGGGTAGCAAGTGCATTAATAAATACTGGCTAGAAGGCCAACAAAAAAATAAAATAAAAAATAACACTGCTGCGGCCGGGCGCAGTGGCTGACGCCTGTAATCCTAGCACTCTGGGAGGCCGAGGCGGGAGGATTGCTCAAGGTCAGGAGTTCGAAACCAGCCTGAGCAAGAGCGAGACCCCGTCTCTACTATAAATAGAAATAAATTAATTGGCCAACTAATATATATATAAAATTAGCCGGGCATGGTGGCGCATGCCTGTAGTCCCAGCTACTTGGGAGGCTGAGGCAGCAGGATTGCTTGAGCCAGGAGTTTGAGGTTGCTGTGAGCTAGGCTGACCTCACGGCACTCACTCTAGCCTGGGCAACAAGCGAGACTCTGTCTCAAAAAAAAAAAAAAAAAAAAAGGTTATTTCAGTTCGTGGGTTATAAGTCCGAACTGGACAGAAAGAACAATACTGAGGAAACAAATGATACAGCAGCAGCAAGAAGATAGCAGTGGGCTACATAAAGCTGCGTTTACTTCTTCTACAGAGAAGGCTGGGGGCCTGTTAGAAGGCAGGAAAAGGAAAAGTCCATTTGGAAAAATTATAAGGCAAAGAGTTAAACTGGAAGCTAAGTAGTGACTCAGCAGACTCTCAGTAGTGGAAACAGGCCCATCAGGCACTAAGGGATTTGACTTCATGCTGCAAGCAGAAAAGACAACTGCTAAAATTACTGTAGGACATCTCACAGCCCCTCAACTATGCAATTACAGAGAAAAACTACATGAAAATCTAGTATGAATCATTATTCAGGCATACTCCTCAGTGGATTAATAATTGGTGAAGACGAGCAGCACAGACAGCTCACCAAATCAATGGTTTTTGCCCTCTTCTTAGAAGCATCATCACACCACGTTTCACACCAAAGCCACTCTTGAGGGAGAGATTTGATTGGCACCTGGTGAATCATGTTATTGGGTAAATCCTGTTTGGTAAAGAAAATAAAACACATGAATCTAAAGTTCTGGGAGAATTTAAATAAATGCATAGTAAATCAGTGATTCTAGCTGTTCATTACATATCACATGCCAATAACAAATGTTTAGAACTGAAAGGTCCTTACCAAATGCCTTAGAGAAGTTAAAGGATTGACTTATGGTGTTTTTCAAAACCTCAAAATTTATAGGATCGAAGAAACATCTACTCATAATAAGCACCTGAAAAGCTTTATCTTAAAAATCACAAATAATCTACACCTCACCTTCCCTCCATGAGGGCAATTCTAAGAAAAATACTCTTGTTGACTTCTGAAAGTCAACTATAGAGTAATGATTCGTACATCTTACAGTCTTCTCCCAAAGAAGCTCTGAATTTGCCTCGTTTAGTGAGACTTGCTCCCAAATAGCTGACACCCATATTTTTTCTAGCCAATTTGACTCTATGCTTTAAAGCTTTTGTCTCAGGAAAGCTTCTGAGTTTGAAACAATAAAACACTCAGCTGTCTTAAGACACATATGGAACAAAAAACTGATGGAATAAAATGTACAGAAATGATTAACTGTGATACTTGTAAACAATGCTCCATGGTACAAAAATAAATAAATGATGGTTCTCTTTATGAAATCCTTTCAACAAATTAAAATTTAAAAGTAGCTAGTAAAGGTATCAAATACTCATCTCAGTTTATCTTATATTCACTTAAAGATTTACAAACTGTTAAACTTGCTGCATTGCTATAGAATGCTGAATCAAGAACACAGTATCAGTTCCAACTCCATACTCTGCTTAAAAAAGAGAACTCAACTTTAGTATTGGTAGGCTAGGTAAATGAGACAAAGATGTCTCCTGAAAACAACTAGAAAAGGTGAATAAATTATGAAAAACACATGCCATTTGAAGGCATCAGAAAGCTAACAAGACAGTAAAGATTATTGGGCCAGGGGAGAACAGAGGCTCAACAAGATAGCCCTGAAATCTTTGGGTTTTCCCTCAGAGTCATATGCTACTCAGTGAGGTTTTCTGAGGCTTTCAAAAGCCACTAGGTGTGTGGTAACAACAATTTGTATATAAGACCTATGATGGTTGAGGGAGTCTGGTAAAACCACTTTGCTTTGGGTTGGAGGACCAAAGGAACATACCTTATGATTTAGAGTGAGCCAGAAATAGGCCCGACAATGAATGCAGTTCAACTTCAAATAATCAAAATCTTAAAACTGAATTAAAATAATCCTGGATAGAAAATGCCCCTAAGTCCTGACAAAGAGAACCATAAATTCTGTTGGATGATACCATTATTCTTGACCTCAAATTATCTACCAAAATAATTCTGCAAAAATAATGCCTGATACACTACAGAAAATAAGCAGTTACGCGAGAGACAACATGAACAAAAAGATAACAGAAATAACACAACATAATCAGATCCACAGTAGATCCATAAATTAGAGATACCAGGTATCACACATAGACTTTAAAGTAAAC